CTCTGTCCACACCCACTTTTTATCTAAACCACGTGTGCACTGGCAGTTTCCCAGCAATGCCAGAGCTCCTCATTCTTACCCCCAACACACCACAAGAAGCCAGCCCCTTAAAAAAAAAAAAAAAAAAACCACTGGAATTCAGCCCTCAGCCTCTCCTGATCAAAGGGCAGACTGTCGGTTGTACCAAATGCTGCCATGTTGCCAAGTCGTATTTTGGGCTTCCTCACTGTGTTCCAGAAAATTAAGCAAGACCGAACTGAACTTCCGTGGTAAAGCAAGCCACATGCTAACATGAGTTGTCCTTCAGCAATGAGAGGTTACTGCCCTTTCCACAACTGGAGAATCTCTAACTACCCTTTTGAAGCTTCTCTAATAGGCAAATGAAGATGAAGACAACGACTTCCCCTTTAAGACACTGGTATAAGCAGAATGGGATCCACGGTTCACCTTGGGGGAGTTACACTCTGAGGGAGCAGTCCCCCTTTCAGGTTTCAAGATCTACCCTCTGTTATTCACATCCTGTTCTTGGGCTTTCCTCCTCAGAGGAGCATACCCCGAGTCTTAAGGAGACACTGAGCATCTGGTATTTTCCATTCAGTAGATTATTGTAACTACTACTTTTTGCACCATGCAGCATGTGTGTTCCCTGACCAGGAATCTAACCCTGACACCCTGCAGTGAAGTGCAGAGTCTTAACCACTGGATCTCGAGGCAAGTCCCAAAAACTACTAGTTTTTGAATAATTTTAAGTCCCCTATTTCCTTTAGTCCTGCTCAAATGCCATCTTCTCAATGAGGCCACCCACACCTTTGCAATCCCATGCACTGTAGCCTGCCAGACTCCTCTGTCCATGGGATTTCCCAGGCAAGAAGAATGGAGTAGGTAGCCATTCCCTTCTCCAGGGGATCTTCCTGACCACTTCAGGGGATCAAACTCAAGTCTCCTACACTGCAAGCAGACTCTTTACTGTCTGAGCCACCAGAGAAATCCCTCCCACACCTAATCGCCCTATTTTAAATTATAACAACCCACCCCCTCAACTTGGCCCTCTCTGTGTCAATTTATTATTATCTGTCTCCTTCCACTAAGGAATGTTTGTGTTATGTTCACATCTGTATCTCCAGCACTTAATAGATTGCATCTAGCACATAGTGGATGTTCAATAAGTATTTGCTGAAAGAACCAAATGAAATCATGAACTTGTCCCTCTGTATTCGGCAGAATACAGATCCTTTAAGATCTGTATTTTAAGATCCTTTAAAAGGATCTTTTGTACCCCACATTATTAAGAACCAAAGAACTCTAGACCTGCACTGTGAAATCTTGGCCATTACTTCTAGGTCCAGCCATTCATTTCATAAATAATGAAAACTAAAATAGAAGCTGTGTGATGTAGCAGCACCAGCAAAGAATTTGGTATCAAAGAACCTGAGATCCAGGTGAGTCTGTGCAAGAAATTTAGCCTGTCTAAACTTCCAATTTCCTCATCTGCAAAACTGCTACTTCCCAATGATTAATGATGACGACAGATAAAATGAAAAAACATTTGGAAAATGTACAAAGTGCTATACAAGTGTCCTTCACCATTAGGCCATTTGACCTGCCGAAGGTCACAGAGGCAGTAGTAGCAAAACAAGCGTAAGAATTCAAGTTTTCTAACTCCTGATCCAGGGCATCTCATGTTATGAAACTAGCCTCTGGTTCCCCTATTCAAGGCCAACTTAAATCTTTCATCTAGTTCAAGACCTTTTAACCTTTGTATGGCTGGGATCGCTTTCAAAATTTGACGAAAGTGACAACAAAGTACATACATGTACACCAACACAAAATCTCCTATAACCCATCCTTGGGCCCCAGGCCCAGAGAACTAAGACTGATATACTAATAAGTTACTCTCAGCAAGTTTTTATCACCTATTTTCATAATTATAAATAATATCTATGAATAAACATAATAATGCTTAATAATTCATGCTAAGGAGTCAACCCAAAGGATTTGTTCTCAAAGCAGGAAGCTCGGGGAAAAAAAGTACACGGGACTTTTAATAATAAAAATCAGATTATTTTGATCATGTTGCCACTGTATGAACCAGATAATTCTACATGACCATTTTCAAATAATCACATAGAGGCCCCATGGTTTCTTCTCTGGAGAAAATATACCCAAAATGTTTATAATGGAATTTTTCCCTGCAACCCTATACCCATCACAATTAACTCCAGACAAGATTACCGAAGATGGTCTATCCTCCCTTAACCGAAATCTAGTTAAGTATGATGCTCTTCACTGTAAAGAGCACTTGTTAGGGGAAAAAAGAAAATCAGTACTAAATCTTCAGGAAGGTCAATTCACCATTCTTCATTCTCTAATCATGACAAAACATAACCAGCCTAACCCACTAGAATGTTAAACAATCATAGAAAATTTGGTAATATAAATGAAGTGGTTCTGCATTTGATAATCCTGAGGCAAAGGAGGTGTGCCATGAGCTTCTTTGATAATCCATCCAGTTAAGCAGCTAGTAACAAATGTTTCATAATACCAACCACTGAATTCAGTATCATTAATTTACAGTTGTCCAGCTACACACAGCTCAGTCTCCTCATCTGGAAAATTAGAACAGGCCACAAATACACTGTGAGTGTGTTTAGGAATTTCTAAGTAACAGTTTTTATCCCTGAGTGTTGGGATTATGGGTGATTTAATTCTCTTACCTATATTTTGCTATAATTTTCAAGTTTTATATTGTGATTATGCACTGCTTTTTAAAACCACAAATTTTGAACTTAAAATATGTCTACACATTTGCAGATTTTTAATCTGATGACTGCAGAACCCCTATCTGTGGGGCAGCAACACAGATGTCCCTAAACACAACCCAAAAAACAAGAATCCAGTATACTGATTCTTCTAAAGAAATCTTGTATATTCAAGGCTAATTAACAGAGGAAAAAGGTTTTCTTACATGCAAAAATAAAAATATCCACTCTTTGGGGACCAGTTAAATGGGAGGTCTTGACCTCTTACAGAATTGCAGCATGAATGCTCCCAGCCTGTTAGCTATCTAAGAGATTGCCTTGTTTTAGATAAATATAAGCCAAGTCCTTGAAGATTCTGCTTCCTAAATTTTCTGTAAATCCATGGGTTCAGTTTGGTTGTCAAGGGTAAGATGAGTACTTTCCCACAGCTGAAAACTTAATTTCCTAAAAAAGCTGATATCCAACTTCTACCACTTGGTATTATTCATCATTTCTATCTTTTAAAGTTACTGTAAATTAAGATTATACGGTCTTTCCAGCCATCCTAACAGGTACACCTCAGTATTAGTACTGTTTTTTTGCTGGTCTGTTTTAAGAAGATTCTTCCAGTGCATCATAAACTGTAATCAAGTGATCCTTTTTCAACCTTTCAGAACACTAAATTAGGTTTTTTTTAAAAAATCACCTAACCAAAATAAATTTATTTACTTCTTAGAGAATCAAAACTGATCATATTCTCAGTAAGTTCTGCACTCTCAGAATCAAATTTGCTAGAAAACTAAAAATTACTTTGAAAATTATTAGTGAAAAGTTTAATCTATATTCATCAAATTCATCAAAACACATTCATGTGAAAAAGATTACAGAAGAATTACACAAATAAGTCACTATTAGTTAGCCATCGACCGAACATCTCCAAATTATAGAGAGATACGGATGAGTACCATAATATATACAAGTTGAATTCCAAATATTCATTCGTATATACTTCAAATAGCGTACACTTTAACTACAACCACCAAAAAAGTGTCACTTCCAAGAAATACTGGGATCCGAAGAGAAAACACTCATCTCAAGTGGCCCTGATTATTCACCTGTAGCAACGATTTTTCACTTCTGTTATACATACAAATTGGACCTCTCAGATCAGGTTACATTTCCTTTAGGAATTAAAGCAGCTAATACTTAGAAACCACAGATTTATTTCTTAGAACATAAAACGTTATTTATAAATTACTCTAGATTTCTGTAACAATTTAGGGCAAAATTTGTTACCTCTTTTTTTTTTTCCCCAATCAACCAAATCGGAATATTTGGATTTTTGAAAGATGAAGTTTTCTGCACAGTGTTTTTAGACGGGGTTCGTGAACTCTAACCTGTAATTCAGCACCGCCTCAGTTTTATCACATTTCAGGGAGAAAATGGGGCAGGGGCAAGTTTAGCGGCACCGCGACGGCATTGTCACCACAACACCTCCCACCACAGCCACCATTTTGAGCAGCAGAATTAAAGTGCTGAGGATTTTGACCAACTAAAAGGAAACACGGGGTCTTCGGGACAGTTGTGGAGCGAGTCCTGACGCTCAGCATTCCCTAATCTGCCGTTTCTCCCCCTCAGTCCGCGGGAACCGCCGTCCCACTCACATTTTTAGAAAAAGCCGTGCTCGTCCGAGTCACGTCCCAACTTTGAAAACGGCGTGCGGCGCCGGGCCCCCGCACCCGAGGCCGCCGCATTGTCGCCGCCGCCGCCCGCCCGCCAGCCGGCCCGCACCCTCCGGGCTGCCGCCGGGCGCGCCTCCCTCGGGTGGCGGACCCACGGCCCCCGCTCGCCGGCCCGGCCGCGCCGGTCTCGCACCTTTGTCCGGGGCCGCGGCACCGACTGGCCGCGCGCTCGGCCCCAGGCGGCCGGGGGAGGGGTCGGGGCGCCGGCCGGGGGCGCCCGCCCGCCAGCCCGCCGGGCCCCACAAAGCCCGCCGCCCGCTACCCCGACCTCCCGGCCCCGCGCTGCGCCCGCCGGGACGCCGCCCGGACTAACGGCCCAACTTTCCCCACCGCCCGGGTCCCCTCAGCCCGGACCCCGATCCCCGCCCGCCCGCCCGGGCCAGTCGGGAGCGCTCCTCGCGCTCAGCCCCCGACTCAGCCCCTCAGAGTCAGCCGCTCGGAGGTCCCAGCGCGCCGCCGCCCCGACCCCCTACCCGGGTCCCGACCCCCACCCCGGCCCGGCCCGGCCCGGCCCGCGCACCTCGATCTCGAAGTCCGGCAGGCGGAACGCCGTGCGGAAGAGCGAGCAGAAGTGCGCGATGGCCGGCACTTCCCACCACGAGCGCAGCTCGCCAAGCCCGGCCGCGCCGCCCTCCTCGGGGCGCATCTCCGGCCGCGCCGCCGCCTCCGCGCCCGCCGCCCGCCCGCTCCCGGAGCCGCTCCGGCCGAGCTACCGCGGCGGCTGCCCCGGGCCCATCGCGCCGCGGCCCGGCCGCCCAGCCCGCACAATGTCGCCGCGGCTCGCGGGGAACAGATGGGCCGGGGGCGGGCGGGGGCGGGGCTTCGGCACAACAACAACCCCGCCCCCGCCCCCGCCCGCCGCCCGCGGGCCGCGCTCGGGCGGGGGAGGGGCGCCCGAGGGCCGGGGGGAGGGGCTGCGGTCGAGCACCGCCCCCCAGCCCCGCCGGGCCCCGCCCCCACGTGGCCGGGGGTCGCGCCCCTCCGAGGCCGGCTGTCTGCGCCTCGCCGGGCTGCGCCCACGTGGGTCCGGGGCGGCGGACCCCACACCCGGGCAGAGCCCGCGGCCTCCTACCCCTCCCGGGCCTTGGGAGACCCCCCCGCCGTCCGCGGTGCGCGGGGTGCTGCGTGGGGGTGGGGGGTGGTTCCCCCTGGCCCGGGGGCGGCCCGCGCTCCGGTCCCGTCCGGTCCCGGGCGCAGCCGCTCGAGGACGCGCGTGGGGACCTCTGAGCGCGGACGCCCGCCCGACGGGCCGGCGCAGTGGCCGCACTCAGCTGGGATGTTATGGAGTGCGCCTCCGGTTTATTCTCTTCCTCGTTTTATTCCCATCAATTTAGTAACCTGTTCTTTTTATATATATATAAGGCAGCATTAAAAAAAAAAACTTAAAGAACATGTATATTTAACTAGATGTTTCCTGGAAGAAAATACTTATTCAACACTGCACACTGCCCCGCCGCTCGCCCCCTGACCCAAACTTAGGTAGTTGTGCTCGCTTATTACCTCAACTGTTGAATGCTTTAAAACGCAGATGCTACCACGTGTCCATCTTTGAAAAAAATGAGTGCCTATCTGAACGCCCCCAGGAGCAGAGGCTGCACTTGAGTGTGTAACGCGCAGCTCCAAGGCAGATTTCCTGTGACCAGGTGAGGTGTGGGAAGGGTGACACGCACCGTGGGGTTACCCACGTGACCTGAATTCGCACTCCCTTCTGGGGACTCTCTGACCCCTGTCTGTCTGCATTTCCGCACGGATCAGCTTGACTTTCCGCACCTTTTCTTCTCTTTTGTGTAAGGATTCCTGCTTCCCTTCACATTTGTTTCTAATCCATTACATCCTGCCTTTCTGCTTCCCCGCTTCTCCTCTGGCTCCTCATCCTGCCCTTTACCCTCTTCCATCTTACCTGTCCCTCGGTGATCTGGGCCCCAGCCTGGTAGTCACAGCGCCTAAAAAGTCGCATACCAGGAAGCAGAAATGTGACAAGTTTGGGTTACTCTGGCCTGTTTGAATGAGCGCTGCCCTCCCCACACACTGCTGGGTCCTGGAATCCAGCCACACTGCCTTGGGGTATGGGGGGCCGGGACAGGGCTGGTGGTGGCTGTGGCTGAGGGGGTCATTCCTCGGTGGTGCTGGTCCTGCCCCATCCTCAGCACCCTTGCCCCCAGGCTGCCTTCTTCATCTGAGGGTCACCTCTTGGTGTCCCATTGGACAGGCACATAGCTTCAGACCTCTTTCTTTCTCTCTCTCCCCTCTGGCTCTGATCCACTGTAACTCTCCCCTCCACCCCCCCACCCCGGCCACCAGAGCATGTCCTTCTCCTCCTCCAGCCCAGAGGTTTTCTGTGTCTCCTTGGGGTTCCTCAAATTCCGGCTCCATCTGGAGCCTCACATTTGTACCCACGTCTTCCTCTCCCTCTGTTGGAGTTGATACCCACAGTCCTTGACTGTTTGTTCCACCTTTCCCCTGGGATTTAACTACCTCAAATCTGTTTTCTGGGCTGGCTTCACCGTAACCTCCCGAGACCTGGATCACTGACCCTGGTGCCTCCCGGGCCACCCACCTCCTTCCTTCTTCCCAGGACTCTCAGCACTGCCTGCCCCTGCCTTTTTAAGGCTGGCCCATTTCTCACCCTACAAACACCAGTTGTTTCCTATCCTGTTCCCAAAAGACATACAGCTCTCATACTTTCTCTGTCTCTCTCTTTTGCCCTCTGCCTCTTTTCTGTTTGTGAGGACTGTTGATCTGAGATGACCTTGGAAATGCCAAAAGAAATTCTCTTACAGATTTCCTACCATCTCCATTTCCATACCATCTTCTAATTAGATATCTTCCATTAAAAACACACACAACAATACTTAGTTTGACTCACCTATTTCACTTGTTAATTAATGTGGCAAAAAATATTTGAATTTCTCTTTGCAAAATCTGTAGTAATCTCAGCTGTTATGGGATTACTTTAGGTTCCTGGAGGATAATCTGGGGAACTAACCAGCATTTTCTAACACCATTTCTTTGAGAAATACATTGCAAATTCTGTATGATCAGCTAAAAACAATTGCTTGAACCTTGGAAGGCGTGTGACAAAAGTGTGGTTCTTCCAAGTTTCTTCCTGCTCACCAGGACTAGAATTCAAATCTTCTAACTGATCATCCAGTCGGATTACACTGGTTCTCACTTCTACTCCAGTTGCCCTTGCTACCCCTTTGCCTGCCCGCCCTGATGTGGTTGCTCCTCAATTCAGTCCAGGAGCCCAGCTGGAGCCGCAGGGAGGCAGAACCATTATCCCATCACTTTAGTTGTCTCCAAACCTGAGTCCAGGTCCCTCACGAAGTCTTGGCACACCCCTCCTTTCTCAGTAGAGAGCTACCTTCCATAGGGTACTATTCCCACAGAGGACTGTAAGTCAGGCTAATTTTAACATTTTAGAGATCGTGGAAAGTGAGTTATATTAGTAGTCAGGAAATTTGGCTCTCTTAGAAAAGGCTTAATCTCGCATGTGTATTTCATCTGTGAGGAGGGGCTTAAACTAATGGTCCCTGAACCCTATAGCTTTCACCTTTAGAGTACAGCCAGCTTAATGTTCTAAAATTGTAAATTCGATCTTGTCATTCACCTGCTCAAAATTCTATGACTCTCCCTTGAGCATGAAAGTCCATTGAGTCTTAACTGAAGTCACAGTTTGGCTCCCACCTGCTTTCCCAGCCTCACCTGTGATCCCCACCCCCACCTCATCCAACCAGTGACTCCTTCCCTCCTGTCAAACTGGTTCACTCACCCCCGGATCTTCTTGCTCCTCCCTTTTGATCCTGCCCTTTCAATTGCTTACAAAGACAGCTCAACTTCTCAGATCATGACCCACTCAAAACTCACCTCCTTCCTAAAGCTTTCCTGAAACACCCCAGCTTAGGGGTATTTGTCCAGGTACTGTGACTGGAGAAACTAAAGTGTGTATGACTTACTAGTCAACCACTTCCTTGGGTCATCATTCTATTATTTATTTTGAAGTGCTACTTAAATCTTTAACTGGGGGTGTCTTTAGTTGGGGGTATCTTTTCTTCTCATCCAAATTAGACTTGAGTATGTGGGGGAATCCTTCCTAATACACAGCAATTAAATGATTGATTATTTAGTGATGACGTAAAGCCGTAAAAAAAAATTAGAACTTCTTAAATTGCCTGATGTTGATTTACTTACTGTTCCTTCATTCCTTCCTCTGCCTTTTAGCTTTCTCCCTCCTGGAACTCATTCAGGCAGTCTCAAAGGTCATGCCTTTCTCAATACAGTCATATCTTCAGGGGGTTGACTCCAGGCCCCCCATGGATAACAAAAGTCACTGGAGTCCCTTTTATAAAATGGCATAGAGTGGTCAGCCCATATCCGCAGTTACCCACATTCATGGATTCAACCAACCAAGGATGGATCCATCTTCAGCTTGGCTTTTCTCCTGAGCTCCAGGGTCATTTCCAAATGCCAATTGGATGTTGAAACTTACCGTGTTAAAAGGAAAGTGGGAAACTAGCTCTGAATTTTTTCTTTGCAAGTCACAGACCTTACTGACTTCATATTTCCTTTAATGGAACAATCATAGTTCCAGACCACCAGGTTCACCCTCAACTCTCTGCTTTTGTCCTGGCTAATTGTAACCACAGTCGTGTGGGTTCTGCCTCCATGAAGTCTCTTGTATTCCCCCTTCTTTTTGACACCCCCAGTCTCCACCCCAACTGAGGTCCTTTCATTTCTCTAGTTGAGAAGCTTCCTAACTGATTCTCTTTCTTCTGGTTTATCTCCTCTTCTGTCTCTCCAGTGTGGCTGGATTAATCTTCTTAGAAGTGTGCGTCAGTTCTGAGAAGGTAAATTTAAAGTGTTCTTAAACCCAGTATATCTACCAGATTATTATTTCAACATGTGTTATCAGTATTAAAAATATCCGTAAGATAGTCTACATGCATTTTTCTTCATGGCAGTTCTTTGGAATCTGGTGTGCATTTTACAGTTAACCGCAGGCATCTCTGTTAGGACCCACCATCTCAGTGCTGCGTGGGGCACTCGTGGGTGGTAGGTGCTGTGTTGGGCAGACAGATCTGCAGGTACCCACATGCCTAGAACTCACCCTGAGCACTCTGACCCTCTGGACCCTGGTCTAGACCCATCCATATCCTCCTGCCTGCACCCTCCTCCAGGCAGGCCTCCCTGAACACTCTAGCCTAGTGCTGAATCTCCCCCACCGACCTCTTTTATTTATGTTTGGTTTTACCAAGAAAATCCCAGCTGTTTCCTCAGGAATAGCTCTTAGACTGTTCTCCTTGGAACAGGCTACAAATAACTGGTCGTGTATGAGTGTTGATGAAATAAATATATTTGTGTATCACTAATATCTTCACAGAAAGCACTAGTTACTCTTTGAACATAGTTTTTTACGAGGTAGAATTTTTTTTAATTGAGATATAGTTGGTGTGCAATATTGTATAGGTTACAGGTGTACAGCATCGTGGCTCACAATTTTTCAAAGTTATACTGCATTGATAGTTACTATAAAATAGTAGCTCTGTTCCCCCTACTGTACAATATACACTCATAGCTTATTTATAACATATTTTTAACCATGAAGAACATTGGGGAATTCCCTGGCAGTCCAGAGGTTAGGACTCT